TGATAAAATACTTTCCTACTTTCTACAGAGAGACCTGGGCCTATATAACTTTGTATATTACAAATATTTTTTTGTTGTATTTTATCTAACATATCTATTTATATGAGAACTTTTTTGCATTATCTTACTCTACCATTTTGCTAGAATTGACAGCCTTGCCAATTAACTTTCTTACGCAGGATTTTTTCTTTTTTTATGTACTCAAGAGTTTTTCAAAACATAGTATTTGGATATTGCAATTCAAAAGAGCAAGAGAAGACAGTAGTTAATATTTTGGTCAGCCAGTACTATAGATAAAATGAAGCCATCTTTTCTTATAAAATTGATTTTTAGAAACATTTTTTTTTTTATTTCTAGAAATTCCTAGATTTTTTATTTCTGGAGTTTTGACTGTTGGCAGTTTTGCTTAGGAGCTCTTATTTTAAAGGGTCCTGAAAATTCCTGAGCCTCGTTTAATATTTTTAGGTGGCCTGAACCTCAAAATGCTGTAAATTGTGATAACTCCAAAATCCACTGCCGTTCAGTCAATTCCGACTCATAGTGACCCCATAAGGTTTCAAAGGCTGTGAATCTCTAGAGAAGCAGACTGCCACATTTTTCTCCCACAGAGCCCCTGGTGTTTTTGAACCACTGACCTTTTGGTTAACAGCCAATTACTTTAACCACTGCACCACCACGGCTCCTGGTAAATTGTGATAGTGCCACTAAAATTGGAGAGGATGGCATGGCAGTTGAGAGCAAGATCTCTGAAATTAGACTGGCTGTAAGGTTCCAATCTTGTCTGTACTACTTACTAACAATGTGACTTTGGGTAAGTTACCTTACCTCTCTGTGTCTCAGTTCCCCCATCTGTAGAGTGTCAACCTATAGAGTTGTGTTAATGAAATATGATTAAGTATTAAGTGGTATATAAGAAGGTCAAAAAAAAATTAGATATTACTAATATAATAATTTCATTGATTTACAATAATTCTCTCACTTGATCTCTGCCCTCCCTCTCTGCAAATAGCCAGAATCCAAATTATGTTAATTTAGAACTTGGGTCAGCAATTTGACTTGGTGCTATAATACAGAACTATGAAGATTTTGTTTTTTAAGGTGTTAAAGTAAGAATTCCATCTTTTTTCTGTTGTGGTAAAAATATACGTAAGAAAACATATGTCCCTCAACATTTTTTATGTGTACAATTCAGTGACATTAATTACATTCATCATGTTGTGCAATTATCACCGCTGTTTCCCAATTTTTTCATCACCCTTAGCAGAAACTCAGGATGAGTTAAGAATGGTTAAGCATTCAGCTACTAACTGAAAGGTTGGAGGTTCGAACCTACCCGGCAGCTCTGTGCGAGAAAGACCTAATGATCTGTTCCCGTAAAGTTTACAGCCTACAAAACCTATGGGGCGGTTCTACTCTGTCACATAGAGTCGTTGTGAGTTAAAATCGACTTGACGGCAGCTAACAACATCAACAGAAACTCAGTGCCCTTTAAACAATAACTTCCATTTCCTCTTCTTTCTGCCCCTGGTAACCACTATAAACTTTGGGCTGTATACATATTCCTGTTCTAAATATTTCATCGTATAAATGGGATCATGCAACATTTGTCCCTTTGTGTCTGACTTATTTCACTCAGCATAATGTTTTCAAGGTTCATCCATGTTGTAGCATGTGTTAGAACTTCATTTCTGTTTATGGCTGACTAATATTCCATTGTATGCATGTAATGTACTTCTTTATCTCTTATAATAGATTTTAACTTAAAGTATATTTTGTCTGACATCAGTATAGCCATCCCAGCTATTTTTGGTTACTGTTTACATGGAATATTTTTTCCCACCTTTTCACTTTCAACTTATTTGTTTCTTTGGACCAAACATATGTCTCTTTTAGACAGCATACAAATAGATCGTGTTTCTTCAATCATTCTGCCAGTTTCTGCCTTTTGGTTGGAGTGTTTAATCCATTTACATTTACAGTAATTACTGATAAGGAAAGACATACTTCTGACATTTAGCTATTTGTTTTTGTGCATCACAGTATTTTCCCCTTATTTCCTCCAGTACTGCCATAATTTGTGTTTAGTTCATTTTTTGTAGTGAACCATTTTGATTCCCTTCTCCTTTACTTTTATGTATATTTTAAAGATACTTTCTTTGTGCTTACCCTGAAGATTACATTTCACATCGTAAATTTATAACACCC